TTAAAAGTAATTGTTTTCAAGAAACCTTTTGCTATCCGATTATTAATTCAATCGAAAACCCTAAAAAATCTCATATCCTGTCCACTGAGTTGCTTTTTAACACCAGATTAAATCTATGTGACTGAAACATGTGGAATTCATTCAATGTAAAGCTTGAAAAATATAATAATAATAAATTATTATTATTATATTTTTTTTGTTTTGTTTTGTTTTAGAAGGTAGGCTGAAAATAAAGTATATAAAAGGTTTAAATTATCTAAATAGAAAGTGAAACTTATGGTTTTAGATTTGGCAAAGCGGCTATTATCAGCAATAAGCTGCATATTATCAGCAATAAAAACCTACTAGGACGTAGAGGAGGAACAGTCTGAAGCCATTTAATGGGACTGATAACAGCTAAAAACAGCCATTTAATAAATGATTACATCCGAAGCGGGTGGAAAAAAACATTAAGAAAAATATTTATAACTTATAATTCAGGAATATTTTGTGAATTTGTTGAAACTGAAACCACAAAGCCACAAAAAAAGGACCCCAAAAGTAAAAGGAAAGTAAGGACTCTAAGAGTTGTTTTAATCAGTATTTATATAAACTAACAAATGCATCTTTTACTGCAGCATTAAAACAGACTCCAACATCACCTTAAAGGCAGAAACACACAGATACTAAAAGCATCTCCATGAAAAAAGAACAGGCCATACTGACCAGATATGTGTCAGATGCGCATATTTGCCAGAGGGAAAGTTGCTTGTTGGGCTGTATTCTCTGCTTTCCCTCTCTATAGGGTCCAGTCCTCCTTTCAGCTCTGCTTCTGCAGCCTGTTTGAAAATAAAGACACCAAAGATAGAAGCTGAAGGCGGAAAACAGAGAAGCAGGATGGTTTTATGAGAAAACAAAAAGGAGCATGCTGCAGCAGCAGACAGGCCAAAAAATGCCTGATAACTTATCCAATCTTTGCACACGAGCCTGGTCACTTTAAGTCAGAGTGCATACATCCGTCAGCCATCACACCATGACTACTGACAGGTGAAGTGAAAAGCATGCTGCAGTGGCACTCACACTGGGATGCATTACGCATTAGGTCATCTTCTGTCTCTGGCTTTGATGAGAAAAGTAAAAACTAGGGTAAGTTTCCAGTAGGAGTTAGTCAAACACTGAGGTTTCTGTTCACATATTTTATTAACTACATTCCATCTTTCATCCTGTGCGTTTTTTCTCCCTACATGGCCAAAAGCTGTCAGCAGGTGGCTCCCTACTCTGAGGGATAACAGCTCAGCCTGCCAGCAGACTGAAGCTGGCCTTTAGACTTCATACAGAGTCTCAGATCTCCTTTTCATCCCCATCAACAGGAGATCAGAAGCAGATCAAACACAGGATCAACATTTATAATAATCAAAGTCAGCTTCCAAGCTTTGTTGGCCAAAACAAGCTTATTGCTGATATTCATTTACTAAATTCTGATTTCAACTTGGGTAAAAAATGTGAGAAAATGCTGCTAAAAAAGATTTATAACATCAGGTCTGTCATTGTGACAACGTTTCTGCCTGCAGCAGAATAAAACCTCCAGCTGACAGCAGGTTTCTGCTTGTCAGCCGTCATTCATAGAGGTAAAGCTGCTCCTCAGCTTCTCAAAGGGACAATTCAGGTTTCTGAAAGTAGACAGAGCAGCTGTCAGTGACCAGATATGGACAAATATCATAAGATGGAGTGAATAAAGAGGCTTTAGAACAGAAACAGGAGGCGTCATAAAACAGACTTCATGTAAAACGCGTCTGGCAGAAAAATAGACCGATTCTGACTCTAATAACTTTTGTGCTCCCAAAAAAAGGATCACAAACTTCCAGGCAATGATAAGCAGCCCTCACTGCTGATATAAAGCTCCCTCCCTCGTCTAGCATCAACACACCTGCCAGGAGTGTTTTCCCTTTGATGACATAATTCCTCAAGGCTGAGTCTTTGGCTTCCTGAGGTTCAAAGTCCGTGGAATGTCAGATGCTGAAGCATGCAGAGATAAGGAATTGGTTTGTATTTGGGAAGCTGCCAAATGCCGACATGAGCTATGAATGTTTTAGCATAATAATCATGTTAAATAAGGCAAGTTGGGAACTAGAAGAGGCAGAAAATACCAGAGGAAGATCCACAGAATAAGGAGAAATTCAAGTTAGGGCTTGTAGGAAGGAGATGTGTCATTAAGCGGAAAGTGACTCATTGCAGGTGCCCTGAATGAGCCGTTTCTCCCTCTATTCATATTCTAAGACATCACAAGAACATAAACTGCACTTCACACGCTAAAATACAGGCCCTGCTGCTGAGAGGCACACTTAGCTGGCCTTTCTTTTTTTCTATATACACCCAGGATGCTTGTGCTAGCATATTTGTGCATGCAACACACTCCAGGTACTGCGACAACCTCTCTGAAGGCTCAGAAAGCAGGTCTTCTCCGCCTCCATTTAATAAACCCTCTTCCTCTGTCCTTCTATTCACCTCAACCTTCCTTTATAGCAAACTAAAAGTCTGCTAAAGTAGCTGAAGTTAGAATGCAATTTACGCCATTATAACCTTCTACCTAAATGTGAGCTTGGACCTCATGACGATCTAATTATAGTGATTGTTAATATGTCTAAAATTGATTTTCAAAGGGCAGCAAATAGTCAGAAAAGAGACGCCGAGTGAAATGGAGGCTGTAGCTTATCAACATAACCAACCAGCACCTCATCCAGGGTTATAAAAGCTCTCTGTGGTCAGAACAACTAGTGCATCAACACTGGGGAGAAAACTTTAAAATGATCAAAGTTATAATCCTGATTCCCGTTAGAAAACCATAAAGATATTTAGTGGAGACTCCCAGCTCAGGATGCACACAGAATGCGTGGAGAGAGGTTTCAACCACTCAAAGAAACAAAAGACAATTTTGGAGGTTATAAAACACTCAGAAGAAGAAAGAGGATATAAGACATCAGGAAAAATGGGATGCTAATTAGTGGAAAGTCAATATCAACACATACAGCTGTCAGCAGTCTTTTCCATGTTGACAGAGGATAGAAAGCAGGGTAAGGTAGAAAGCAGGGCAACTTAGAAAGCAGGGTGACGTAGAAAGCAGGGTGACGTAGAAAGCAGGGTGACTTAGAAAGCAGGGTAACGTAGTAAGCAGGGTAAAGTTCTACTGGATTCACTTTGTTTTAGTCTTTTTCCTGCTTCACAAAGGTAGGCAGCAGCTTGACAAAGCCATGATGGTGATTATTCTACATCCAAGTAGTATGCAGTTCTTCATATATACACACACATCCATTTCAAACAGATGGTATCTATATCGGCCAATAGTGCACAGCCAGGTATCGGGTATTGCTATCGGGGCCAAAAAATAACGACTGCTGCGATGTGACAATGTCAACATCTTGCACCATGTGTCCCTTTTAGGGGATGAGGAGGAGAACAAAACACTTCTTTATTTTTATTCATATTGTTTAGCGCTAGAACCCTGGCAGCTCTAGGGATTCAATCACAATGAGAAACTAGCAGCACTTTGATCTATTCTTCCTGAAAAAAGGACAATTAACACTCTTGAAAATCAGCAAAAAAAAACATTATGAACCCAAGGAACTTATGTCAGCAAAATGTATCTGGAAGGAGAATACAGCCGCCTGCTGGCAGGGTCTGAACGTAACCACCGCCAAATACGACTAATTGTTTCATTGGGCGAGTTAATGCCAGAACGCCATGCGCCAGAAGGAGAGGAAATGTTTAGACTACAGTTCATCTTTTCTTTTAGTAAGTCTCCCCTCTGTCCATTTAACACTTTTATTTTTGGAAAATATAAAAAAATAAATATTGCCTATTTTTTAATGGCAATAATCATGGCGAATTTTTGCACTTTTATGAATGAAATTTTATGAATTTCTGAGTAACAACTTTATTTAATAAAACCACATTAACATTTACTTCAACTTTGTTTGCATTCAACATAATGCATTAGTGAAATAAGTTCCATTATAATATTTTAGAGCAAATTATTTTCTTTTTACTACAGTGTATGCTAACAAAAACTCCTGTGAGGACAGCGCAGGTCCTGGATTACACTGCCCAGTTACTAGCATAACACACAATAAAAATGTATTTTTTGTGAATTCATTTTCAGTCATTAATTGCCTCCAGCTGCTAAAGCTAAATTAATGTTGCTTCTTGTTTTCTTCCACTTATTATTTCTTTTCTTGGTTACTTTCTTTTCCCACTCGCTGTTTAAATAGTATGGTTGGTTTTCTATTTCGATAGAAAAGAAAAAGGAAAGATCTACCTTTTTCTTTGCTTATTTTATCCTCCTGCTAACAACATGTCTTCACATACAGGTAAACGGTGCAAGCGTGTCGCCTTTTGGCTTCCAGAATCAAAGATGGCGAAGCATCATGGTGTCTCACATTACTTATAAACAGCTCATTGTAAACTATAGGAAAGCTTTTATTCTTTTTTATGATGGTTATTAAAACTGTTGCAGAATATGTTTATGAAAGCAAGACTTTGTTTTTGCTCTTTATGTCAAGCTTTCTGTCTCTTAAATATAAATTTTGCACATTGAAGGGTGCCTTTAACTGAAGGAGTGTGCATTACTGGCGTCTCTCAGTGGATAAAGTCAGTTTGATGAGATTGTGGCAAACAAATAACATGTGATCCATAAACAGGCAAAGTTCTGCAAAATGAAGACCACCTGAGGCTTAAAATGTTTTAGAAACTTTCCATTCAGCTTCATGTTTGGAACCAACTGTTGTTTACTGTCAATTGTTTCTGATGCAAAGCTTTCAAAGTCATTTTCATCATTTATTAATCCGTGGTAGCCATAATACAACCGTCACACTGCTTCCCAGATGGCCCGGCAGAGTCAGGCATTCAGACCCAGACGCTTATCTGAAGCATGCACCAATATCACACCCAGAAACCTTCATGTTTCCTGCCTGAAGCTCCTAATGTGTCCGAGGAACTCGCTCTCAGATCCTCCATTCAGGACTGTGTGATGCTGAACAAATCTTGAGCCGTCAGGGCTCCACTGAAGCCATCTGATATGTTTAGCATTCAGGATGTGACAGCCCTGCCAGTCGCAGTCTGCGGCGCCGCGTTTCACACCTACCAGCCCGTCTGGATCTGTGCCCGCTCTGAGAGAGGGAACACTAAAAACGCCCATGCTCGCAGATATGAGCAGTCAGCTAAAGCCTGCGTGTTTCTGTTTTCTATGCCCTCTCCTGGTTCTCTGTGCTGTTTGGGACACGTTTAAGGTTTAAGCATTGCCTGGATGAAAGGAGGAAGAGCAAAAAAAAAAAAAACAGCTGCAAAATGCAGCAAAGTCAGAGACTCAAAGTGGGTCAGTGTGCTGAGCTGAGCAGAGAAGGATGTGACAGCCCATTAAGCTGTGCTCCCATCTTCTTCTCTTTAGAGAGCACGGATTCAAAGAGCGCCGAAGGGTCAAAGTCAGAGCTTTTCTTTTTATGGCAGCAGGGTTCAGGGTTTTAAACATTACGCTGCTTTTCAGCAACAATAACAAGCCTTTTTTCATTAAAATTTGGGTAAAGCCCCTCATGACGCCTGCTGACCACCAGAGGGCCGAGTCAGCGGTTCGTCCAGCTCTAACTGGATACGTGGATCCTCATTAAGCTGCTCGGCGAGGGAAACAATATCGACCCGGAACCACGAGGGGCCGGGCTGATCACACATGTTCACTAATGAAGCGAGCGTCACAGCAGCTCGATACGCCGTGCTTCCACTCAGCAGGTCAGCCATTCGAGCAGAGCTTGGTGGCTCAGCCTGTGGACTGACTGGTATGTGTGTGTGAGAC